TAGTTATAATTATTAATACGAATACGTAGTCAACATTCTTAAGTATCTTTAAATTTCTCAATATATTATACATCATTTTACTCTTAAAATAAATATGTTAATTACCTGTTACAAGTTTTTAAAATTAAATATTGAATGTTGTGGTGAATATAAACATAATAAAATACATCTTCTTAGTTTTGCTGCCACATTTTTAATTTCTTAAGGACCTTACGAACTCTACCTAAAATGAGACTATCGTATCGGGTGTCGGTAGGGATGGTGGGAATCGTAAAATAAGTTTGTAAATAAAGGAATAAAACAAAGAAACTTTAGTAGCCCTATTTGGTGATAAATGTTAGCACTGTGTATATATATATATCAAAATACTTTTAAAATGCCACTTAACATTTGCAAAGTTTTTCAATTTTAGGGAAAAGAAATATCGTGAATTTTATAAGACCTTGTTATTGTGCATAAAAATCGCTTTCTTTTTCAGTTCCTTCAATTTTTTTACTTGATCTTTTTTTCCCTTACCTAAGAGACTCGAACAGAGGTGTTAAAGCAATTAGCCCTACAACTCTTCATAAATTTCTAATAACGTATGTAAATTTGGTTTTAGTAGAAAATTTTCATACAAATGAAGTTAAAACAGCTGTAAAAAGACCAATAATGTCAGATAAAAAGTTCAACGTTCAGATTCTAAAATCTTGTAAAATCATAAATAATTTATAAATCGATTCAAAATTTATTTTCAACGAAGAAAGGAAAACAATCTGTTTCCTTTGCAAAGAAAGCAGCCCCCAAAAAATATTCGCCATGTATATAAATCTTTATTACACCCCAATTTACTACCCAATATTTTCGAAATTTTGTTTACCCCCTAATTTTAAGGGTCAGGATTCCATATATGTAAAATATTATGTATGTTTATTCAGAGAAAGTGCGTTTTTGTATCTGATTTCATAACTTAATTATTAGTTAGCAATAATTAGCACATTTGAGGCCACCCCCAGGAATCATTAAGATTGACACTTAGCTAGTGAAAATTCGAGAACGAAAGTTATTCAAGGTGATATCTTTTCTTTTTTTTTTCTTTCTTTTTTTTTTTTTTTTTTTTTTTTTNTTTTTTTTTTTTTTTTTTTTTTTTTTTTTTTTTTTTTTTTTTTTTTTTTTTTTTTTTTGCCTACTGCACAACTCAATGATTGCATTGATTGTTCACATATTTTACACAAACTAATTAGGGTGCGGGAAAGAATTATAAAATTTGCTTTTTATAAATGAAATAAAAATATGGCTAATAACAAGATATAATGTAATCAATATTCACTAAGAATAAAATTTCATGTTTGGAGAGAAGCGTTCTGTTTAACTTCTTAAAAATCTCTTAATTTTTTTCAAAATTAGTTCATCTTCCTATTATTATGACAAGAAAAAATATTAACTATTTTGCAGAATAAATAAGTAATACCCAAATTAATTTTAATATTATGCCATAATTGATGACGGAAACAATCATATATCTTTATGTTTATGCTTACTCATTATACTTCTCAATTTCAAAGATAAATCTTGTAAATTTTATTTTTTAAATTTTAAATTTGATTTTTTTTTGTAATTTTATATTTGTTTTATCAATTTAATATAAAAAATAAAAAAGAGTTTAATATAAAAAAGTTAATTAAATTTAATAGCTACAGTAATTTTAATGTCATATAAAGAAAAAACTTTTATATAAAATTAGGCACTTGCTACCCAAGAAGAAGATCACTGATACACAGACACCTAAACTATGACCTCAGCACCAGCTGGTTATTTATAAACAAGATGGTGTTTTAATATTCTGGATATTGCTGACTTGGACCCAGCTAAGTTTCTCCACATAAATTAGAACGTTAAGTAACGATGAATTAATTAAATGAACGCCGTATTGTATATCTAATTTGTTAAAATATAATTATTTCTAGTCTACCTCTTGTAGCAAACCTAGATTTATTATTTATTTAAGTATTTTATTGTGACCGTAATTAGTTTTGTTAAAAGGGACACGGGTGTCTTATCAGTGTCAAAGGGTTAAACGATTTGGTAATATACTCATCTGCATACTCACATACTGATACTATTACTTAAATATTTTTTGGGTGATGAAGCTTAAAAGGCTCGACAGGCTAATATTAAAAAAGTGAACAAGTTACCATACTTAAGCCCCACAAAATCAATTCACATCTCATAATTATATTTATCAGGGTTATTAACTAACTGATGTCACCAACATCAGTTAGTTCATCCCATTATATCTCTATCCATGTGGGCAGTCCACCACTCTGCATCCAAAGTTAAATTTAAACACATGGGATATGAATTACTTCACAGGAAATGCTAAGTAAGGTATCTGAAATTACAAAATACATGGTAAGAAATCCTAATTAATGTAATGTCTCGCATAGATTATACCTTGCGTACTATTAGATGACTGCACACAAATCAACCCTATCAAATATAAATAATTGTAAAAAATAGATTTTTGAAAGATTGAATATAAAAATTTCATTTATAATTTAAAAACAGTTTAAATCATATAAATAAATAGCAAAAGTATTAAATAAAACTTGCATATAGTTCAACTGCTGTGATGGGTTAAACCACAAAATATAGAAAGGAGAAGTTCAGCTCTTCGAATACGTCACTAAATTGGGAAACTGCTCGGTGTAATATACTATACCAGAAAAACAACTTACGGGGGAAGAAACGTACTCACAATTAGCAGAGCATCATATGTACCCGGCGCATGCGCATAAGAAGCGAAGTGAGATGCGTCACCTGTGAACTGGTCTTTGGACAACTCTACGTGTATGGTTGGGTACGCTGCCTCCCGCCAAACGCCATTTTATTCTTTCTATCATTTGTTAGCAGATTTAATGAACATGGCGGATGTAAAAGTATTCTCAAAGAAGTATCGTAATGGTACAATAATGTTTAGTACAACAATAAAGAACAAACCAACAATAAATAGAAAGAGAAGACTTTTCTTTCCCTCCCAACCCCAGTGGTGGTTGGGCGGAGTGGAGGGTGCAAAAGCACGTTTCAAGGACCTCGACTGCTGTGTCACTAAATGTTCCTTTTATCTTCGTACACAATGGCCACACTAAGCCATGAGGGACTGATTTACATTATGTTTATGGAAGCTAGCATTCTTCACCGACGTATATTCTTTGGTTAAACCAGTCTGCCTTCGTGGAGGACTTTTTTGATGGAACTAACCCATATTTGCGGTGCATGTAGAGGAAAACCAAGAAAACCTCCCATGGTTTGTCCGATGGCTAGGGACTTTTAACCCATGATCCGTCTACCACTGAGATTTTTTACGCCATCACTGTGGTCAGTGTGAGCTGGATGCAGAATTCATATCGACCAGCTATTACTGGGATTCGAAGCTGTGCCGTCTCATTGGGAGGCGAATGCTCTATCCCCTGAGCCACCATAGCTTTAACAACAATATTTAATTTACTATATCATTTACCTTACTTATTACTAAACCATTTCCATTAAATACAATACTAATTACAATTTATGAGAATAAAATATGCAAAATGATAGTAATTTAGTAACAGCTACTAAACAAAGTTTTAAAAAAAATTGACATTAAGTACAGCAATAATACGTTGGTATTATTTAATATAGTTAAAATCATGTTCTATTTACAAAAATATATGAATACAAATGATGTTCTATTACAAATGATATCTGACCGCAGTTTTTATTATTGATAAATTAGTAATAATAATCGAAGTAATTTTTTCTTATAAAGTAAAGTACAATTCTGAAAACTTAGCATTAATTTTTAGCGCTTGGACTTACAAATATTTGTAAATAAAATACAATCTTTGATTCTGTTAAAATCTAATATATCTTTGGCAGGATATTTTATTTCATCGGTAAGTTATCGATTATTGGGCTACAATGAATTTTTTTTTCTAACTCAAAGTATTTTTGACATAAATCTGACTTTGTTACCGTTTAGTCAATGGAATTTAGTTCTTAAATATAGATATATAATCTCACAATATAACATGTAGGAAGATAATAATAATCAGAAAATTGATATGTAATAAAATACTTAAAAACAAAACACGCATTCAAAATTGAAAATAGAAAAAAAAAATATTAACTTAACTTACCTTAATTTCGCGCACATCGGGAAAATATCAGTTAACAGCAGTTCAAAGCTCACGGTGCAAGATCAGTACCTTCTAGAAGAGAGAAGGCCTCAGCACGAATCAATTTAGTCATCTGACGTAACGAACATAAGCTGTGCAATGGATGAAAAATAAAAAAGACGTCACTACGTTAGGGCTACAAAGCTGTGCTGTGATGGAAAATACGGAAGATGTCATTACGTCTGAATTACTAAAGGAACAAATTGTAACGGTAACCCGTGCCTTGGCCTTCGCTTTTCTAGGAGGTATAGGCAAGATGGGGGCAGGGTTTTTATCAATCGTTTGGTGAGAAGAAAATTCTAGCTAGCCAAACACCCTTTTTATTCAGCCAAATGTACGCGGCTTTGTTACCTGGCAAAAAATGTCCTCTAAAGAGAAAGAATTACCAAAAACTGGATAAGTTATATAAAATTCTGCATAATTTGAGTTGCATATTAGATATTCAATGTTTACTTCTAGCCTTTAATTAATAATTTAACACCCAAATAACGCTAACAATTGCTCACCACTTTTAAGTGTGTGCGTTAATCCAGAACTAAAGAAGTGGGTATTTTTGAATACATAATAATTCATGTTCTTTCTTAATTCTAAAACCAAAACTTAGCGCTCAAAATTCCACTTCGTCAAATCATACCAATATTTATAAGAAATTTCTGATTTTCATACACATGAGTCATACACTGTACTTTCTGATTCATCACTTACTAAAGTTGTATACTGGTCTTTATTATAGACCAGAAAGATGTACATTCTAATTTTTATTTTCAAAAAAAAATTGACTTGCGGTTTACTTTTATCACTCAGGGGAAGCAAAGTTGCAAGTCGAAGATGTAGGGCTGGAAGAAGAAGTAAAAATTGAAGGAGGAGCAGGACCAGAAACAGGGGCATCACAAGGAGGAGCAGAACCAGAGACATGGGCATCACAAGGAGAAGCAGAACCAGAAACAGGGGCATCACGAGGAGGAGCAGAATCAGAGGCATGGCCATCACAAGGCGGAACAGAACCAGAAACAGGGGCATTACAATTAGGAGCACAACCAGAAACAGAGGTATCACAAGGAGGAGGATTAATTAAAGAAGAAAGATTAGCAAACGGAACAACAGTGAGAAGATACAGGACTGAAGAAAGATTAGCAAACGGAACAACAGTGACAAGATACAGGACTGAAACAAAAGGAGTACGTCTAATAAGAACAGGATCAGCATTCAATAGAGGAGCAACATCAGGAGGAAGAGCGGCATTAGGAGGAGGAATAAAAGGCGGATCAACCATAGGGGGAGGTTCAATTGGTGGAAGTTCAATTGGTGGAGGAGGACTAGGATTAGAAGGTGCTACAGCTTCGGGAAGAGCAGCATTAGGAGGAGGAGGAGCAGCATTAGGAGTAGGAATAAAAGGTGGATCAACCATAGGGGGAGGTTTAATTGGTGGAGGAGGGCTAGGATTAAAAGGAGCTACAGCATTGGGAGGAGCAATAGCAGGAGGACTAGGAGCAGGATTAAAAAGTGGGGTAGCATTAGGAGGAGGAGCAGCATTAGGAGGAGGAATAAAAGGTGGATCAACTCTAGGGATAGGTTTAATTGGTGGAGGAGGGCTAGGATTAAAAAGTGCTACAGCATTAGGAGGAGCAATAACAGGAGGACTAGGAGCAGGATTAAAAGGTGGGGTAGCATTAGGAGGAGGGGTAGCATTAGGAGGAGGAGCAGCTTTAGGAGGAGGAGCATCTTTAGGAGGAGGAGCAGCTTTAGGAGGAGGAGCAGCATTAGGAGGAGGAGCAGCATTAGGAGGAGGAGCAGCATTAGCAGGAAGAGCAGCATTAGGAGGAGGAGCAGCATTAGGAGGAGGAGCAGCATTAGGTGGAGGAGCAGCACTAGGAGGGGGAGCAGCATTGGGAGGAGAAATTAAAGGTGGATCAACCATAGGGGTAGGTTTAATTGGTGGAGGAGAGCTGGGATTAAAAGGTGCTACAGCATTGGGAGGAGCATTAACAGGAGGACTAGGAGCTGGATTAAAAGGTGGGGTAGCATTAGGAGGAGGAGCAGCATTAGGAGGAGGAGCAGCATTAGGAGGAGGATTAGCATTAGGAGGGGGAGCAGCATTAAGAGGAGGAATAAAAGGTGGATCAACCATAGGGGGAGGTTTAATTGGTGGAGGAGGGCTGGGATTAAAAGGTGCTACAGCATTGGGAGGAGCATTAACAGGAGGACTAGGAGCTGGATTAAAAGGTGGAAAAGCATTAGGGGGAGGATTAGCATTAGGAGGGGGAGCAGCATTAGGAGGAGGAATAAAAGGTGGATCAACCATAGGGGGAGGTTTAATTGGTGGAGGTGGGCTAGGATTAAGAAATGCTACAGCATTGGGAGGAGCAATAACAGGAGGACTAGGAGCTGGATTAAAAGGTGGGGTAGCATTAGGAGGAGGAGCAGCATTAGGAGGAGGATTAGCATTAGGAGGGGGAGCAGCATTAGGAAGAGGAATAAAAGGTGGATCAACCATAGGGGTAGATTTAATTGGTGGAGGAGGGCTAGGATTAAAAGGTGCTACAGCATTGGGAGGAGCATTAACAGGAGGACTAGGAGCTGGATTAAAAAGTGGGGTAGCAATAGGAGGAGGAGCAGCATTAGGAGGAGGAGCAGCTTTAGGAGGAGGAGCAGCATTAGGAGGAGGAGCAGCATTAGGAGGGGTAGCAGCATTAGTAGGAGGAGCAGCTTTAGGAGGAGGAGCAGCATTAGGAGAAGGAGCAGCATTAGGAGGAGGAGTAGCTTTAGGAGGAGGAGCAGCATTAGGAGGAGGAGCAGCATTAGGAGGAGGAGCAGCATTAGCAGGAGGAGCAGCATTACTAGGAGGAGCAGCATTAGGAGGTGGAGCAGCATTAGGAGGGGGAATAAAAGGTGGATCAACCATAGGGAGAGGTTTAATTGGTGGAGGAGGGCTAGGATTAAAAGGTGCTACAGCATTAGGAGGAGCAATAACAGGAGGACTAGGAGCAGGATTAAAAGGCGAATCAGAATTAGGAGGAGGATTGAAATTTGGAGTACAAGGAGGTGGTTTAAAAGTAGGAGAACTATTAGGAGGGTTAAAAATAGGAGGGCTAGGATTAGGGTTGAAAGGTGGGGCAGCATTAGGAGGAGGTTTGAAAAGTGGAATAACACTAGGAGGAGGATCAACTGGCGGAATATCAATTGGATGAGGATTTAAAGGGTTATGCAGCAGAAAGTTTAAAAAAAATAAGTAAAAGCATAACATAAAATACTCTTCATCTTGTTTGGAAATGCATGGAAAAAGCATCGAAAAGAAATTTTAAAAAGTCTACAAAGATTCAATATTTCAAATTTATCAATAATACGTTCATTTGTTTAGTTCACACCTGTATGAATGTACATATTTTATAAAACGCATTTATTAAAAACAAATTCAAAATTATACAGCTTTTATAATTTTTGTCCTTACAACCTAATTTTTAAGCAATAATCTTTTGTTAACCCGTCATATGGGGAAAAAATTCATTTCCAAAGAATAAATAACTCTCTAAACGCATATCAAAGACATGACTTAAAACGTAATACATGACATGACGTAAACATGATAAACGTAAAAATGCACAGTATATTTTCCTGTTAAATAGTGCGCCTGCAGGCAAGGGAAGAAATGTGATAGAACATCGTTATCACTCATGGCATGACAATGTATGCTTAGACAAGGCCTTCTAAATAGGCCACTCTTACTGGCAGCAAATGTTCTTACAATTTGAAGAAAAAACTGCCCTCCTGCATTAGGTCTTTCTTTTATTCTTATATTTATTGGTTTTGATGAAAATATTTCTTTTAGAGTATTACTGTACTTCATACGTATAATATAGCCAACTTAGTTGAGATGACTGATTTTTACGTAGTCAAACATATCTGGCTCTTTTGAACGTTTACTAAAATTCAGTGTTCCGTCTTTCACGCCTGATGCCATTTTTCTGAATTCCTTCTCAGGATCAATCTTTTTTTGCTTTTTCCTTGCAAAAATATAAGCTTGCGACCTCTAATGTATATCCTTTTTGCTTCATTATAAACAAGAGTTGGTAAAAAATAGCTAGGTTGTTTTCGTCATTTTAGTGCAGTGTTTTCATATCGAATACACAAAATTGTTTTATTAAGATAATAGCTGAATACCCGCTCTTCATACAGGAAGGAAAAAAATGAGCATTAATTAATCAGTACTCAACAACACTACAAAATAGTACAGAAAATTTTTAGACAAATTCCGACACAAATTATAAAGCTTCCCACGGTTATTTACTATTATTTGTTGACTTTCTCATTTGCTTTACTTTGTTAAATTAAGCAAAACGCGTATTTAGTTGATCATCCCATCAAAATAAATTTTAAAAAAACTGTAATACAAAGGTTCAGTAATGGTGCATCAGTATGAGCATCAACATTCAGTAATCAGCATCAAATTTACTCATAAAATACTTAGTAATACCTATGTAAGAGTGCGCTTTGTACCCATTAAAACTGCAAACGACAAATCACCCTAACGTTACTACAAAAATGAGGCATCATTGGTGTTTATAATTGTTTGGCGACTTTTTACTTTTACCCGTAACGAATAAGAACATATTCTCTCTTGTTTGTGTTTTTTAGTTCAAAGTTTGTATTTTTCTGTTTCAATTACCAAAATTAATTAAGCATCTCTAACGTCAGGGCTCGAAAAAACTCAGAAATTTTTCCCGTCCTCGAGGACGGCTTGTTACGGCTTTGAAACTAAGCCGTAGTTTCTAAATAAACAAAAATATAATTTTCTCCTATTTATTACAAACATTTATATACATTGCACAATGAATCAGTAGATACTAGGATTACATATACTAGGATTACATTATACAGTAATAAAAGGTCATTTTAGAAGTGAGGCGCTAGACTCTTGTAAGATAACAAAAAGTGAAAATGACGAACATAAACGGGAAAATGGCCGTCCGCGCGGACGTCGGATTCGGGAAATTCGTTGTCCTCGGGGAATTGACTGCCGAGGACGGGCGGTTTTTCGAACCCTGTCTAACGTCAATAACAATTTGCCAATTTTTTACACTCTCTTCAAGGAAAAACTAATATTTCTCCATTAATGCAGCCTTTTATTTATTGCTCATTATTTTACTCTTACCAAAATGAATTATCATTAGTTCCATTTTTCTTTTAATTTTGCTTTTCAATACAAAACTTTTTTTATCTCACGTACCGTTGTTTTTTATTTAGTTTTATAATAACACGTTTTAAGAGCATAGCTAAACACGGGATTTCAGATAACCTTAGAAATGCTTTGCATTTGCCCGGTATGCCCTACATCAATGATTTTTAAGGTCAAATGCCACTGCCTAGTATGCATTTAACCGGATCTCCGAACACTGATGCTTCTCCAAATATATCCTCAGGATATAACAAAATATAGAATAAATATAATTATACCAACGAATAGCTTAATATCAAATCGGATATAACAAATATTTTGGGCATTCACCTAAGCGACTATGTGATTGTTGACGTTCACCCGGGGAAAGTCGACAATCTCTTGATTTCTGTCGTTCTCGGTAACAACTACATTTCGAAAGAAATCTGCATTCACTTCATTTTAAAAACATAGTTGTTATGGCAGTTGACTGCATTTTAACTAAAATAAATGTAGTTAATTACAAAAAAGAAATTAGTTTTTCCGAACACCGCGCTGTTTTATGCTAGCTATTTTACAATCGGTGTATAAAGATATTCAACATAAAGCCAAATATCAACAGAAGAACAATCAAATGAAAAGTAATTTAATTAAAATTCAAACATCTTATATCTTATTACGAATCAATTTGATTCTATATGCCACATACTTTTTTTACAGTAGTTAAAAAAATATTGTATGAATTTTTTTTAAAATCATATAATTTAATGGTGGATGGAGGAAAAATATCGGGAGAAATAGCCGCATATAGTATGGAATAATAAAATTTTGTTTTTGTTTTTTAAAAAAGACATAATTTTGGTAATAGAATTAAATAAAGCGGTATTTAAAATATAAATTTGGAAATTTCACCGTTCATATCCGATACCTGAAATTCTGGTTTTCAAAATTATAGTTCTTACCCTCTTACTAAAAAAAAATACAAAACTGAAAAGTAAATTTAGTTTTTATGACATGCTTTAAAGTATGATGAAAAAATTACCAAATTTTACCACATTTATCAAATTTTATCACAAATTATGAAACAATATTTTATTGTTTTTTCTTACCAAAATCAATACTCGCATTCAAAATGGTTTTGTGAAAATTACCGAGTTTTTTGTTCCTACAGAGCCAGAAACACGGTAAATTTTATCTCCTTTAAGTAATTTTAAACATATTTTTTTTCTCAGTGAGAAATATACCATATAATCTCGCTTTTAAAATTTAAATATGTTGCATATCATCTTTATTGAAATAATTGTATCAGAAAAATCAATGGAAAGTACATATTTTATTGTATATTCCAAACTCTTCCAATATGCATATCTTCTATAACAGTGTCACACATAACAAAATTTTTCTAAATAAATTTTCTTGACCAACGTTTAAATTAGAATCGAAGTGGTGCTGGAGCTCCAGGGGCGCAAGGACACTTGCATTTTTTGGACTTCTAAACGGAAAGACAAAAATAATATTAATATTTTAATATAAAAGCTGTTCAATAGAAAAAAATATTTTCTGTTACATAAGATTTCTACACAAATCTCGAATAGCTGATATCAAATCTGCAATTGATTTTTCTCCCCAAGCTACAATTTTTAAATGTCTATTTTTTTTTCTACATGTTATTTTTAGTCTATTTTTAGTCGAAATGTGTAAGTTTAAAAACGTTACATTTAACAGGCAGCCACGTAAATGTTGCGAAAAAATTCTGTGGGAGGTAGGGCACATCATCGGGATTAAAACTGCACGAAACCCATTTCAGGAAATGTCGTCATACGCCACTAGGAGCGCGTATTGATTCTTAACTGTTTCTTTGTGTGCTTTTGAACAAGACATAATAAGAAAGCGCTCCTAATCTCATACAGCAACGTTTCTTGGCATGGGCATTAAACTAGCACATTTAAACAAAAAATAACTAATTTCGTCTAATCGTTTTTTTTTTTTTACTTTAGACAAAATAAAGATTTTTTTAAAGAAATGTCATTTTAAAAAAATCTGTAGCTTCAGAAACAGGTTATTTAATTAAAAAAATAAATAAATGGACGCAATCAGAAACATCTAAGAGTAATAGAAACTACACATTAGTATCGTACACTGTTAAATTTTAAACCGAATGAAATTAAATTAAATTTTAAACCAAATGAAATGAAAATTTATAAATTATGAGTTATGCTGATAAATTCATAGATTTTCATTAATGAAGTTATAAACTTAACTTTGTAACAACGTTTACATTGAATGAGATTCTACGAATTTATATAATGGAAAAAATATTATAACTGCAGAATTTTATTCAATGTACAATTTAAATAAAACAAAACCGAGTGCGATTGATTAAAAATTTCAGATTATCTAAAAATCCCTCGTTTAAATCTTTCGCTATTCTATAAGGAGCGTAAAAGCTGAATTTGTCAATGAGCAATGTAAATCGTAGCTCAGGCCTTTGGTGGTTAATCAATTACAGACAAGCTGCAGTGCTCTAATATTAATTTATTTCATATCTCTGAAGACTGGCCCTGCTGTCGCTACTGTACTCGTGTCCAATTAAGCAACCCAAATACTATAATATTGAGCCGCGATGGCTCAGGGGATAGAGCATTTGCCTCCCGTTGAGGTGAACCTGGTTCGAATCCCGGCGATAGCTGGTCCATAGGAATTCCGCATCCAGCTTGCACGAACCACAGCGCTGACGTGAAATATCCTCAGTGGTAGGGTCATGGGTTAGACTCTCTTTGCAATCAGGCTAACTGTATGAGGTTCTCGTGGCCTTCCTCTCCATGTAACACAAATTCGGGTTACTTCCATCAAAAAAGTTATCCACGATGGCTAATTCCTCCCAATATTTGATCCTAGGTTCAAAATTAGAAGGCTATGGAGTTGAATATTAACAGTCGTAAACCCAAAAATTGGGTCACCTGTTGAACGACGGTTATGAAAAATAAAATTACTATAATCTGGGTCCGGGATAGCCCGGTCGGTAGGACACTGGCCCATGTCCAAGAGGTCGTGAATTTGATCCCGGCCGGCTGAAGACTCCCCGTGTAGTAAATGGTGACTGAAGCACGTTAATCTGTCGGGTCATAGTTTCCCATGTTCCCATAACAAATCAAACCTCTGGGGGTACTGATCCAAGAGTTTCCTTGTCTTCTGGATTGGTTCAAAATTACAAAGCTACGGAGTTGAACTTTAGTATTCGTAAACCAGAAATTGGGTCGGCTCTTCAATGACGGTTATAAAAAAATATAAAATATCTATCCTCTAGAGCCGTAATGGCTCAGGGGCTAATGAGGTGAACCGGGTTCGAATCCCAGCGTTTTCTGGTCGATACGAATTCCTCATCCGGCTTGCATCGATCACAGTGCTCACGTGAAATATCCTCAGTGGTAAACGGATCATGGGTTAGAGTCCTCTTGCCGTCAGGCTATCCATGGGAGGTTCTCGTGGTCTTCCTTTCCACTTAACGCAAATGCAGGTAATTTCCATTAAAATGTTCTCCACGAAGGCAATGACCTCCTTCGATTTCTCCTAATGCTTGATCCAAAAGTTCCCTTGTATCCAAATTGACTTGCTAAATTAAAGATAACGATTTTTTATAATTTAATAATTATATTATTTCGTGTGTACCATGTTCTCAATAAGTGTAATCATTTTAAGCCTTGGTACAGATTTAACGGCTTCATCCATTAAATCATTCACCCCACCTCCAATACGTTTTGATTTCTAAAGCTTAGATTGGGAAAGAAATCTTGACAGAAAATAATAAGCAATAGCTATTATAAGTTAAATTACGAATTTCTTATTCATTTTTGGTGGTTTCCCTATCTAAATTACCACTACACTTAATAAACCAAAAGAAAATCAGATTAACGTCAGTGTAGGGAATACCGGTCAAATGTGTGAAGTAGCAATGGCTCACACACCCCTGCTTTTTTATTATCCCCATTATTCCAATTGTTAGCAATAATAAACAGCTGTTTTTGATGATGTCACTGTCATTGATATTTTCTTTAACATATCCAATATGTATCGAAAAAAAGAATAAAATTAAAAAATAAATTAAATGTGCCCAAGCTATTAGAAAATAGAGGAATATTCAAATATAAAATATTATATTTGTCTCATAAAGTATATTCCTGTACTTATTTTCAAGTAAAACTAATTTGCTTTACGTGATATGAATCTGATATACATGAATATTAAATTAGCTCTTTTGGGGGGGGGGAGGCTAAATTGATTTTAAAACCGATTAAGTTATATTAGGGAAACTTAATTAAAATAGGTTATGTTAAGAATACTTGAATAAATACTGTAAACTTATAAAAGATTTTTTGTATTCTTTTCCAAGAATCTTTATCTCCATATTCTTGCAGCACACGATTTTGTCTATGCTAACAGTCCATTATTCTGGAAAAACTAATTAAATATAATAAGCTAACAGAATTTTTTTAGAGCGGAATAATACATGTAAACGAATTTTTTACATTTATTATTCCATTTCGATTAAAAATGTTTTTTAAGTACTTCCTCAACCATCAGTAAAACTATCAATTTTAAAATTTTGTTTTCACACACACTGCTAAATCTGAATTGCCTATAAATTGTTTGCTGACCAAAAGCAGTTTCACAAGTTCGACACAATCATCAAGACATATCACAAGGCTGTATAATTTTCCGTTTTTTTTTTCATTTTGCAGCGGTTATTTAAATATAAAATAATAAAATTTTGCTTTTACTTGTTGATGATTTAAAAATGAAAGTTTATTGCTTTTGAATATTCAATAGTTTAAAATAAGGGTGAAAAATACAACAATAGATACTTAATTCCATTACGATCCACACAGTTAAAAAATTAAGAATCTTATCAAAATTTGGTTGTTATGTAAAAAAAAGTAGCTTTTAAAGCATATTAAGAACTGATCCCAGAAAAGCTATTATTTTATAATTTCATATTTTATAACCATCGTTGAGCAGCCGACCCTATTTTTGGGTTTACGACTACTAAAGTTCACCTCCGTAACCTTGTAATTTTGAACCCAATCCAGAAAACAAGAAATTTCCTCGATCTAGTATTAGGAGAAATTTGTCTTTGTGGATGACTTTCTGATGGAACAAACTCGCATTTGCATTGCATGGAGAGGAAGACCATGAGAACCTCCCACGGCCAGCCTGACTGCAAAGAGACTCTAACCCATTATCCGTGTACTGTTGAGGATATTTCACGTCAGCACTGTGGTCGGTGCAAGCATTATGCTGATTCGTATCGACCAGTCATCGCTGGATTCGAACCCGGTTCACCTCATTGATAGGTGAACGCTCTATCCCCGAAGACATCGCGGCTCAAGAAAAGTGGTTAGAAAAAAGATGCATGGTTGTACTCTGTTGCAGGTTAAGAAAAAAAATTATTCCTACGGAGAGAGTCTGCATCTAAGTGCAAGCCAAATGAATTAAAAGCTTCTAGAGCGAACGTATTATCAGCATCACCAACTCTTGAAACAACGTGCCGCAGCCTCCTTATTGCTTGATTCCTTATAAACAACAATTATCAATTAACAGGAAATTAAAATTTATTAAAATGTTATCTAAAAATCATTAAAAATACAGGTCCTTCTGTTCGCATTTAAAAAAGCGTATAAAAAATAATAAATGTTCCTTGTTAACGATTTTTTCCTACAGCTAAACAAAAGTAAAAGTTATTTATCTCACATTTGATTTAAGAGCATTTCAACATAAGACACGTCATTTTTAGTGATACAATCAAATCTAATGCTCGTGCAATGTCATACAGTTGTTTCTTTTTCAAGAACGTAAGTTCTTCTTGTGTATCGAAATATGTCACCAAGTCTAGGATTCCAATAAGACTTCGAAAGTTGTAACCTTTTTTTAATAATTCTACGATATATTTCGTGAAAGGTAGTATGAATTAAATTTCTGTCCGGCATACCTACCTAAAAGCCTCTAAAATTATTTTGAACGCATATTTGAATAATTTAAAAGCAAAAAAAAAAAGCAGTGCTATATGCAGTCTCTCCAAGTCAAAATTTTTTGATGATTTTCCATTGATCGTTCCAACATAATCTTAATGGTAACAATCAATTATCCAATCATGAAGCATTATATCTTTGATAGTAACCAACATAAGTAACCATCACCTCAATGTTGGAATTCGGACTGATTTATGATGGTGCAACATAAGAATTGATGGCTTGTTCATGTTGAACCATTACGAATTTCCCTCATAGTATCAAAGAAATCATATATTGGAATAATCATGAAGAACCATCATTCCAATGTAGGAATTTGGACTGATTCATGATAATCCAACATAAAAACTGAATTGTTTTAATGGTAGAGTAATTGTGTAATGGTCGAGTAATGATAAACTAAATGGTTTTAATAGTTATTTTAATTCCTGAGAACTGACAAGAATTCCCATTAAACGATCTTGGAAATGTAAAGTTGGAACCACCATGAACCACCACGGATCATCATAGACTGTTGGTTCATGAGAGTCAAACCTCTTTTGATGGTTGACCATCATAGTAAGTAACATTCTCCATCATTGAATGATGGAAGTTTGTGGGCATATCGAAAACCATGAACACGTAATGGAAAATGTTGGATGATGGTGACCCTCAGGGAATGTTGGACTATTATGAATCGCACTGAAACCAAAATAAATCATCAAAAAATTTAATGGAACCATCAAGATTTTTGACTTCGTATAATTATTTAAATCCAATACCGCAATGGTTCTTTAACTTGCAATGGAGTATAATCATTTTTTTGCATGTGAACTTTTCTAAACGTTGTGAATAATGTATTATATTTACTGTACAACATGAAAAAACTTCTTTAGATTAAAATATATGTCTCTTTCATATTTTTGGTTGATAACAATAAATGTGTAATTTTTCTTTGTTTACCACGCACAATTTTCCGAAAATCCATATTTTAGTTCGGAAACGTTACGTTTTTGATCAGAAGCCAATAGCTGCATACAGGCAAGGAAAGGTGCTTTAACTAACAGTGGTTTAACGCACCACCTTGGCGACCAGTGTGACGAAAATGTTGACTTTAGTGATATTTTTGGTTAAGAAACTTTATTTGCCTTTCCGAAGCTTCGAGGTCTTAGAAGCATTATGAAGTTAGATATCCACAGGAATAGAGAAAGGAGATATTCTAAGAAAATTATATGGGGAGATTTTGATTTTAATATATGACTCAAGCATCTTTTGTTACAGAATCGCTTATTTTAATTTAAAGGATAGAAAAAGTGGTAGTGTCAGACATGGTGGACAGGCATCTTGATATCGTAATGGCATCAATAAGAAACAAAGAAATCAAAAAATTATTTCATAACTTACACATTTTTTCTTTGGAGAGCATTCCTTACATGGAAGTATAGGTGGTGGAAGTGGACAGGGTGGACAGGGTCGACAAATCGGACATGGCTGTTTCCTGCAAGGTAAACACTTCGTCGTTGGGCATCCAAGAGGATATACTTTAGGTGGTGGTGGATTTCTTTTTCTTACATAATGTACCTGCGTAGAGTTAAGATGTCCTCGTCTCTTAAGAAGTACAGTTTTTTCGCCTATTACATGGCAGTTATCACATGATAGAGATGATGGCACCGGACATGGATTGCATGAGGCACAAGTTGGACACGAAGGACACTGATTCTTTTCTTGAAATGAGGAACATCCTACTGAAAATGATACTTTTCTTACTTTTCATTTCTTTTTTATTATTGCAAGATTTCAAAAAAAAAATTTCGAATGTTACTTCTATATTTATTTTTTTATTTATTTATTGACATGCTTACAAAGAGTGATCTTTTTTGTCCCCAATTAATACAGAATCAAAATATATTTACTTTGGAAGGTTCAATCCTTTTATTTATCTACTATTACAGTGATAAGAGGGGAAAAAATGTCAATCTACTGGGTCAACGAATGAACAAAATCTGTGTAAAAAAAATAAAAAATTACATATAGACAAACATGATGTTATCATCTTTCGCATAAATATTTTTAAAAGGCCATATTAAAAATTAAGAAAAAATGTATACACATAGTTTAAATAAAATAAGGAAGTAATATAAATTTAGTTCAAATCAAAAACAAAGAACAAACGTTATCAATATCTGTATAATCATTATTCAAGTTAATCATAGTGAAAGTGGAACAAAAAAAATTATGACAGTTTATGCTCTGAGTGAAATTCATCTCCTTTTATTATTCATTCATCAGTTCTCATCCATTTATTATTATTATTCATTTATTTACTATTCATTTACTTACTATTCTTTTGTTATTTACTATTCATTTATTACTTATTTACTATTCATTTACTTACTATTCATTTGTTATTTACTATTCATTTATTACTTATACACTATTAATTTATTACTTATTTACTATTCATTTACTTACTATTCATTTGCTATTTACTATTCATTTATTACTTATTTACTATTCATTTATTACCAATTAAATTTTCTTTTTTATCCTTTCTTTTACATTATTCTCGCTATACAAGTTTCCCAAACTTCATCAAACAAATACAGAGAGGTCTCAGAATAAAACGTGAATGGTGGATGAAAATTTATCTTAGGGGTTTGGAAACCCCATTTAGAGGGTCAAAATTGCAAAAACCTCATTAAACTTGACTCTTGAAAATGAGTGCTTTGTTTTGAGCACTCGAAACATCATGGCTTTTGGCACCTTAATTTTTGTATCTAATAAAGTTTTTCCATTGATAAATAATAATGAAATATTATGTAAAAAATTTTAATTAAGATTTACCTTTCAGACTTGAATTTTCAATCCAATCTTTATGTTAGGTTATCATGTAAAAATTTCAGTTTAGCTCAAGCTTTTCATTTAAATTTCGGAAACACAATTTTATACATAATTTTTTTACACTTATTTTACATTATAAAATTTATCCTTTCAGGACTTTGAAACTAAAATTAGTTTTACAGTTGTCATTTTTAAAAAAATTACATTTAAGCCACAGTTTTAAAAAAATAGTTCCATTGTGAAAACTCTGAAAATTCATCAAAATAATTATAAAATTTTAGAAAAAAATATGTAATTATAGGTTTTTAATGACTTAAAATTTTGAATGCCAAGAAAAAGCTTTACGTATCTAAAGTATTCGCATAAAATAAAGTATCTTTCTTTAAATTAGTGAATCTGTAAATAAGAAAAAATAACTTTCAGGTGAATTACAAAAAAAAACTCCTTTTTAATGATTTTTTCCATCGAAAATTTAACTACTTATATTTTAAATTTCTAAAAGGTGTAAATTTTTTTGATTTATAACTACAAAAGCTTTTAAAGTATATTGATATTTCTTGATTAAATGTTTTTGAGGACTAAGAAGCTCTTTTGAGGACAAAAAAATATATGAAATAAAATCTTTAGCCGTTGCTAAATGTTTTATAAGAGCTACTCTATTTAAAAATTAGGGAAAAAGGCAAAAATTGTTAACATTTTTTAAACAAATAATGACGATTTTTACACAAATTTTACATGGTATGCAACAGTCTGAAAACTATAATCACCTGTATTAGTTTCCTATGTTTTTCCTAAATGTAAATTAAAAATAATTTTATTGCAGATGTAATGCTCCGTTTTCATGTTACATGAAATCATATACGGTGTGAATTTTAAAAAAAGTGAAATAGCTAATGCAGAGAACAAGAAAAACATTTAGTAACAATAAGCGGCTAACATAAAACTACGTTATAACTAACCACTACGCATAGAATAGAAAATTCTAACGCTTCAGTTAAAATACCATTTCAGAACAAAAATTTACATTCAATTTGTTTCACTATTTATACTATAACTAAGGCCCTACAAATTGTGATTGGAAGATAATTTTGAGCTTAACTGCTGAACACCCGCATACCCCGTGCGGTGACTGGTGACTGGTGCACGTCAGAACTGTCGGGTCCCAAAGTCCTCCAAGTTCTCATAACAAATCAATTCCTCTTGAGGTACTAAATAGGAGATTGATCGTTCTCTGGTTCAGGTCAAAATTGTGATCTTTGAATGAATAAATGCATGTATGAATGAATTCGCACTCTAAACTGGGCTGTGACGTGTGTGTGTGGCTGACGTCGTATTCTTGGCTATATCTTAGATGGTGCCACTGAAAAATGAGAGATGCACCATCTGCCTTAAAGTCGCTTACTTTCTCCAGGCAGGCTTGCTGATATTGGCAAGTGACATTCGAAACAACAGCAACATTCCCGCGTATTTTTTTTCAGCAAAATTACACCGTTTTTCACATAACTCTTCCTTGCAGCTTTTTTTTTTTTCAATTCTGCGCATCCCAAATTGTGTCTAAGTTTTTACAGCCAATATTAAACTTCGTGAAAGCTGCTCTAGTTTTTGATTTAGAAGGAATGATCAAACAAAATATTGATCATGATGGAGCATTAAAAAATATTCCAGGAATGAGTGATCTGTTTATAAAATTCGAATATGCTGCATACATAGAATTTATTAAAGAATGCTTTAATCTGGAATTAGAAGACGCTATACCGAGTGAATGATTTTTCAGCGCAAAATCTGCTTCACCCCTATTGGTATTTTAAAATTTAAAGTTAAAAAAAAAAAAGATGTTTCAAATAACAGAAATATATTTTTAAAATATCAAAATACAATCAGATTATTGAAGGATAACTTACACAGTACGTAATCCTAAGTCATCCTGCCATAATCTGTTCGGATTTTGAGATTTTTTTTCTGCTCAATAACTTCATGGTTTACTCTAAATTTACCTAAACTCTCATTTTTCTAAACTTTAAATTATAAATTACTCTACGCAGGTTAACGAGAATCGGCCATGTTGGCGTCGGTATGGCGTCCTCTTAAGATAGTCTCAGAAGGAATCCAGAACAAAGCTAGACAAATGGTCTTTTTGCTGCCTAATTCAGTGGAAAGTCTGTATTCTCTTCCGACCAAAGTTTTACGAAACAAAGACAAAGTTAAGAAGCATCGCTTTTTAATTAACTTCTCTTCTTTTTAATAAACTTCAATAATCTCTGTGAAAGGTAACTTGCTTGAATTCTTTACTGTAATATTTGTAAGTAGCAAACCTGCAACAGCCCGTTTTGAACCAGGCATGCCATGGAAGTAGAGGCTCAACAATTTCGTAACCAACGGCATGATAGTGACCATGTGGAAAGCAATGTAACGAGCCCTTCTCCCAATTGCAGATCTATGGCTTCAGCTGCAGATTAATGGTTTCAGCTACAGATCGATGGCACGTTGCAGATCAATGCTTCAAGTCACCCCCGGGGACCGAAATTTTATTCAACTCATTGACAGTTCTTTGCCTTATGAAAGATTAATCACGACTCAATATTCAAAAATTTGTAATTAAAACAAGAAAGAGTATAAAAAGTTATATATTTTTTCGATTCAAGTTTTTTTTTCTCTAGTTCAATTGTTTTCTAGGACATCCGCTACCGATTACATGATTTTGAAAAATTTCATTGCTGCATCCTTTCAAAGTATTTTAAAAATATTTCCTTGTGATTTATGAGGCTTGAACTGCAAAATTCCATGGAATGAAAAATTATATGCAATAATAATGCAAACTGGACAATAGAAAAATTCTTCAAATAAATCAATATCGCTTTACAAAATATTATGTCAATAAGTATCATTCCTAATTAAAATAAAGCTGGCATGTTAAAAAAAGGTATCATGTCAGCTTTATTAAGAATGTCTGTAACAGAAACTCTTAAAGAGCAAACAATCAAACAGAAATCATTTTATAAAGATGATAAATATCTTATATCTTATTATAAGCCAAACAAAAGGTTGAAATATATTAATATTTTCATTTTTTAAGAAGCTTAAAAAAGTAACATGACAACTTTTTCTAAAAAAAAAAATTACGGAGTCATATTTTAAAAGCTAATTAAATCACATCTAATTTTTTTCAGTGTGTATTATGAATAAACTGGTATGTAATGTCATCTCCATAAAAACAAAATTGATGTGTAAAATAGATTCACAAAATCAGTAAAGTCAAAAGGATTAAAGTATTTTATTTCAAATTCAAAATGCATCCAATTTACATATCTTTCATGAAACTACGTGTTTCCTTAATAACAAGTAAAGTGTAATAATATTTCCGAAAATAATTTTTTTCTTGCCCATCTTTCAGATTAGAATTGAACTGGTGCTGGAGCTCCAGGACGACAATGACATTTACATTTCTTGGGGGAAAGAACCGAAAAGATAAAAACAATATTAATATTCTAATGTAGTGATCCAAAAAGCTATTTAAATTTTTCAATCAGCATATTCATCGAATAAATATCAACTGTAATAAAATAAGAAATTATACTCAAGACTTTGACTCATCCATTCATTTGTCAATCTACGCTCGCGATTTTGAAGAAAATCTCGTGAAAACAACATCTCACATAGTCATAATAACTCTCGCTTAAATATATTGCATTAAAAACAGTAAACATATGCAACATTTTTAAGAAAATAAGACATTTAAGAATATAAAGCGCGATTTAGTAAGTAATTTTTTTTTTACATTTTTAGCATCAATCAAATCAATCCACGCAGTGTTGCTCTCCTATTACATAGCATGGTAACACTCTTTTCGATTATTTGGTGAAGCAATACATTTTTATCCATTTTTTTTACATACATTTTTTTTTAGAGCCCGGCAGTAACTGGTGCATAAGTGACAAAATCTTGTGAGATAGTATTTCTTTTAAATTCTAGTTAGACTTATAACTTCATTGTATATTAAGGAGTTTGGTTTTTTCGTTATATTTATTCCATGTTAACTTTCAAATCATTAAAATAAGGCGGCGAGGGCGCAGGTAATGGATCGTACAATTCCAACTAAAATTATCCTAGTTCGAATCCTAGTTGCGGCCGGTAGATACGAATTTGACATCCGGCTCGCACCAAGCGCGGTGCTGACTTATAATATCCCCAGTAGTAGATGGATCATGGGTCAGAATCCCTTTGCCATCGGGCTAACAGTAGGAGGTTTTTCGTAGTTCTCCTCTCTTTGTAACGCAAATGCGGATTAGTTTTATCAAAAAATCCTCCATGAAAGCTAGTTTGTTACAATGCTTAATCATGGAGTTCCCTTGTTCTCTGAGTTGCGTTCAAAGTAACCTAGATTCGCCCCTCTAAAGCATTTACAAAATCACTAGAGAATATGTGCAGCAAGAAAATCAAAAGAAATTTACTTTGAGAGACTGACTTATGTAAATATTTTTTAAAAAAACTGTATATATAATATCTGTATAAAAATATTCCGTATATATAAAAGTCGTACTCATCACTAATTTCCCCACTCCCCTCTAAGATAGAAAACTAAAATTTAGAACTTTTGTTCTTTATGCGATTAATAGAAAAACTACAATAATTTTTTTTATGATATTTTGTAATTATCGGGATAATTAGGGGTAATTAGCCTAATTGACAGTAACGTTAAGTAATAAATTTTTATCATGATAGAAGCTTCAAATTTAAACAATGTGTTCCTCATGGTATATTGTGAAAAAGTAAAACGGATTCACTCCTATTATTCTTTTATAATTATTTAGGTGGTTAGTCTAATTGACAGTAACGTTCAATAATACATCTTTACCGAGTTAAAAGTTTCAAAATTTGAATCATGTGTTTCTTATAGAGCATTATGAAAAAGCAAAAAAGTTTAACTTCTGTTATTCTTTTGTAATTATAGGGGTAATTAGCTGCAATTGACATCAACGTTAAGTAATACATTTTTACCAGGATAGAAGCCTCAAATTTAAACCATGTGTTTATGGTATATTATGAAGCAGTGATAAAGTTTCACTTCCATTATTCTTTTGCAATTATTATTATTTTATCAGATAAATAGAAGTACTGCTTTATTTTCTTTATTTGTACTTATCCAGGTAAATAAAGGGCCCATAATGGACAGTAAGGCTAAATAGCATGTTTTCCCAAGGTAGAAGTTTTAAATTTGAACCAAGTACTTTTAATAAACCATGGAATGAGCACCGATATTGGTCATTTTTGCTTGCTATTTTGTTGTGACCACGAAAAATTTTTATTAAACTATAATAAATACTCTTTTTTTTTTCAAAATAACATTTTTCACAAGATTAAGTGAGTACTTTGTTTATTAAATAGCATCTAAATTAAGAACTGTTTTTCACTATCTATTAGCAGTTGTATGTATGTGAAATAATATTTTATATTAAAAAAAGGTCTTTTTAATTACTGTTTTCATTTTAATTTATTTTATGTAAAAAAAAAGCATTAATGTAACAAAAATCTATTTGATATTAACCTATTTTTCATTTTAAGTCTAATTTTAATTATTTTTGCATTTTTCTGCGATTTGTTTGTTTACGTTTTTATTGTAAAAAGTGACAAGTGCTGTTGCATTTTAATATCATTGTTATCGAAATTTGAATTATTTTAAGGTTTCTTCAATTGCATTTAATTTTAGGAGATACAAAATCCCAATTTTGCATATCGCTGGTTTTTGCAAACGCAGTAATTGGGTACTTGTACTTCAATACGAAGAAGATCACGGATACCAACAAATGTGACCTATGACGACAGCGGCAGCTGATCGTTTATAAGCAAAATGGAGCGTAAAAGTTGAGCTTAGTTTCTCCACATAACTTAAAATGTCAATTAACGTGAAATTACTGAAGTTACTGAAGTAGTAGTTATTAAATACAGAACAGTATCGCACATCGAATTTGTTGAAGAATAATTCTATCTCGTCTACGTCTTTTACTTTATTTTGATTCTTTATTTGCTTATGTATTTTATTGTAAACATGATATATTTTTGTTTTGTGTACCTGGCAATGCATAATTAGTTTGTTTATGATCTACATGGCTTCATACCTGTCTTTGTGTTAAGTAAGAAATATATAGTGAAAGAATTGAGATCTTTATGAAAGAATATTTGCGAAAGAATATGGAATGAAACACTTAAGAGAATTGATACTAGACGAGATTGCCTTACTCAAAATAGAACGGAAAGAACAGCTGCTAACGTAGACAAATCCCACGCTTCATCTGGCAGTCAGGATCGAGATACCCGCATTACGTCACTTGCAGACATCCCATAGACAGCAATTTTGCATATCACAAGAGTTGCTGAAAGCGATTTGTGGACAAAACGAAAATCCAAAGATCCATGCAAAGGATAAAATATATTGGATATAAAGTTCATAAGCCAATTAATGTAACCTCAGCTGTAACTTGCCCTAAGCATTCGAGTCAAAGATCAAGTAACCATGCTGAGACCATGCCCATTATGAGACAAATAGAAAAACTAAAAAAGTTGAACTAACTGAAAGCTATGCTTACTAATGCGTTCCCACCATTTGTTCGGTACGCCATAGCTGATTACCTATGAGTATGTGTGAGCGAACCAACTGACCACCGATAAAAGTTATTAACCCTCCAATTTGCACTAAAATTTCTAACACTGAAAGTTTAAAGCAATAAACAGAAACAAATCCTAAAACTAGTGGATTTGAGGAAGGAAGGACTAGTGGATTTGAGGTTGAATCCTCAAACTAGTGGATACAATGTGGACCTCGAAGGGTTGAATTCGTATAGGTGGGTCACAATGTTTCCACCCCATTTTGCCTTTTTTCGCCATGTAACTTTTGATTGACCTTCGTATCTACTTAACCTTGAAATTTTCTCATATATTTCTTCTCAGTTCTTATCATCTTTGTCTTTGCAATAGTTTGTAATGAAAAATTATGTCAAATATCGAGGTAACATTAAAAACATATAAAAAAAGTAGAATTTTATTACTTACGCAAGGCTTCAATTTAGGACATTTTTTGCATGGACGTGCGGCAATACATGGTGGACATTTTTTGCATTTTTTGCACTTCTTCTTCTTCTTAGGCGGACACGGCTTACATTTCTTCTTCGGACAGCCAGGTGGATAAAATGGACTTCTTCGTTCTTTGCCGTTTTCGACCGTAGAATTGGGATGTACGGAATTCTTGAGAGGTATCTCAATCTTTTCTGTTCTTGACGGGCAAATATCACATGATAGAGGCGATGGTACAGAACATGAATTGCATGGTGCACAAGTGGAACACGGAGAACATTGTTTCTTTTCCCCAAGTACCGAAGTTTGAGCTAAAAATGACATATTTTATGCTTTTAAAGGGCAACACCACTTTTTTTATACTTCTTTAAATATTTGTTTTTCTTTTTAAATAGATAGTATGCACATTAAAAATATTTTTCGCAAGAATTTAAGTTGAAGTTTAGGTAAAGAACAAAGATAAGACATGTATAAAATTGATACGTGGATAGATGAAATTCGTAAGATGCCTCATTACGTAGGGCTCTCAAGCAATTTTGTTAATACAGTTTTGTGAGCACTTTAAGTGATTAATTTACTGCTTGAACTAAAAACTCTTCATGGGAAAAAATTATCAATCAAAAACGGACATTTTTAAAAGAGATTCAAACTGTTTACACGCTTTTGAATAAACGCTTTTGAAAGAGGCATTCAAACTGTTGCTGATAATTTGCAGAACCCATGAATTATATTTGTATTTATCTGCAAATGTATTTGTTTAGTGAAAGTTTGGAAGTGTTGTGTTTTTACACCAAATATTTACACTTTAACTAGTTACTCACTCTATAAACTACAGTCTAGCAAATAAAGTATAAAAAGAAGGAATTTTTAGTGTATTATACACTACAGAAGTGATTCTCTAACTTTGTTGCCTCGAGCGTAGTACAATACAGTGTAACTTAAGTACAGTTAACTAAAGCCAGCCTTGATTTTGAGTCGTAACTAGACACAAAGATACGTAATAAGAATCAAACATATACACTCCTCAAAAGTGAAATTGCAACACCAAGAAATAATGCACGTAGCGTCATTCAAATTTCAGGAGCGATAGTAGTGAGGTGGATATGCAAATGATTAAATTTGCGCACGCATNTGCATGACGTTACGTGCATTATTTCTTGGTGTTGCAATTTCACTTTTGAGGAGTGTATATTAAGAAAGTCTGTATCTAAACACTCATATGCAAAGAATAACTCACTTTTCGCTACGACTGTGTACGGGGGAAAAAACACTGAAATAGTGAAAAAAAAGGGAAAAAGTGTCCCATAAATTAAGCAACTTCTTTTTATTATTAATATATTAGTCATGTTTATATATGACTTGAAATATATAACGTTATTACCAATTAGAGAGCATTAGCATCAATATTAGCCTGAGTTTTAAAGATGGCAGCCGAAGGCAGCGTTTAAGTCGCCCTTTGGTTCTTACAATTATATCTTTTTAAAATATCGGATTTCAACGGAACCAATTTTTTGTCTAATTTGAAGTTGTAGATTGCTCCAAACAGAGAATTATCTAGAACTTCTAGAGCAGGGGTTTCCAACTGGCGGCCCGCGGGCCACATCCGTCCCTCGAAGCCTTTTTTTGTGGCCCACGAACTAAAAAATTACTAAAAATTACGCGGGCTTAAAATACTTTTCTCGTTAAAAAAAAAACTACATTTTTTTTTTGTTATCTGTGAAATTTAGCATACCAACGGTGCAAAAAAAAAAATTATTTCTCAGGTTTTGCATCCAAGAAAATATTTATTCAAATACAAAAATGATCGTGTATGTTGCTCTTTTTTATTTCATTTTCTTTTGTATTTTGTGAATATAATTTGGCATGTGCGTATCAAAAATTTTCTCGAAGAAATTCTCCGATNAGAAATTCTCCAATTTAACTTTTTGAAACCACTCATTTTGGACGAAATTATTTACATTTGTAAATTTTAAAGTGCATAAAAGAGGGAATGAATATCATGTTTTATCTAAATTCCTTGAATTAAATATCGCATGAGTGGAAAAGAAGAAAAAAAATTAATTTCAGATACATTTTTAGTTTTTGCTAATAAGTCGAAAAAATTTTAATTTATCACAGAATTAAATTTGAAAGTAAAAAAAATCTTGTCACTAAGTTTCGAATTAAGAGAGGATTCAAAATGATACGTGACAAGCATTATTTGTAATGCTTGTTATTTTGTTTGTAATTTTCAATATTAAAAAACACTTTTATAAAAATATGACAGCAATATTTAATGTTCCTTCAAACATAAAAGAGACCTACACTACCGGTCAAAAGTTTGCGAAAATTTTGAAATCTACAAAAAAAAGTTCTAAATTCAAATGTTCATAGAACTGCGAAAAATCATTCAAATGGCATGAAAATTTGATATGTTCTAATGTGAACTCTTTACAGTTAGTTACATATGATCAAATTGCAATACTTTGTTTTTTGCGAACTGAATCCACCTTTTCATCATGAGTTGTTTCTATGGTGAAAAAAGTTGTTAAGTTTGAACACTTGCCAAACTTGCAAAAAAAATTTTTTGTACTTTCTGTTAATAGAAAATAGTTATTTGAACAGTTCTATGTAAG